AATTGAGGATACTCATGGACTTCTGGGCAGGAGAAAATGGGCTAATTATTGACCAATGTCCTGGAAATCACAAGATTAATATATTGGCAACATGGAGATCTGGAGGAGAGCAATGTAGATGGACCTATAGGAGTGGGGATAAAGTGTGTGGATCTTTGTGTCTCACACCAATGCCTGCCAAAAAGGAAGCACTGAGCAACCATGTAGATGAAACAACTCTTCATTTGAGGAAAGCTAGATTCTCTCCTTAGCCATCATAGTGTTTACATGGGCTCCCCACCAGGAAGACTGATCTAGTTGTTGAATAGCTGATCTTTCAGCAGCAAAGAATGATGCTGACCCTTTGATTATGGTACCGTCCCTTGAGGAAACCAACCAGACACATGACAGCTGGTTGATTATGTTGTTAGTCCGTTTGGAAAGGGCAGCAATTGCCTTTCCTGTCTGCAGTACCTTGGCCAATTCCACAATCTGAGGTCCCACCAAGTTATCATCATGGGATCCAACATAATATCACCTTCCCCCCAAGGGTCCACTTTATAGCAAAGGAAGTGGGACAATGTGCTCAAAATGATAAGACCCACTGGTCACATCCTATAACACTTGACCCAGAAGTGGCTGACTTGAAGGAACATAGAATGAACTCTTGAAGTTTTACCTAAAATGCCAGCTTAGAGATGACACTCTACAGGTTTCAGGGGCTGTACTTCAAGATATAGTGTGTTCTTTAAACAAATGGCCATTATATGGTGCTATGTCTATGTCAGGAAGAGTACAGGAGACCAGGGGAAGTAGGAAGTAAGTGTGACCAACTCATCATTTCTCCCCGTGACACATCTGAGGAATTTTTGCTTGGTGACCCCACCTCCCCCTACTTAAAGCTTTGCTGGACCAGAGGTCCTGGTTCTCAGGGGAGGAATACCTCTAACAAGAGACTCAGAAATTGTTCAACTAAATTTGAAATTATGTTTACTGCCTGGTCAATTTTGCCTTTTCATGCCTGTGGAATAGCAGCCAAAAAGAAGTTCATATGTTGCCAGGGATAATTGGCTCTGATTGCTATGAGGAGACAGAGTTGGTGCCACATAATGGGGCAGGGAGGAGTATGTCTGGAGCTTGGGAGATTCACTGAGGCTCCTCTTGGTGCCTCCCTTTCTAGAATTAACCATAAATAGATAATTGTAAAAACCACAGTGGGACAAAGGCGGGGTAACCAGGGAGCTCAGACTCTTCAGGAATGAAAGTCTGTGTTATCCTCCTGCAAATAACCCAGACCGGCAGAAATACCAGTCGAGGTTAAGGGAGATCTAAGGAGAAATAGAGGAGAGAGATGATGAACGTACATCAAGGCCTCAGGCCAATTTGCAGCAGCAAAAGTTATAGCTTGTTCTCCTTTGTAAGATTTTTCTTTTTTTTTTTATGCTTTAGAAATTGCTACTGACCTTGAAGAAGTAGGAGACAAGGTGAATTTAACTCTGGGTGCAAGTGCACGTGAGTGATGCAGAGGGGGCTGTAGTGGACACTGGCGAGTGCCCACTGTTCAGTGCTCTCCTGATAACTTCCAGACACCAGCATCTGCATCTGTGTGTCTGAGGGCTTTTTCTGGAAAGCTGCTTTGCCTCTACTGGTGGCAGGATGGAAGTGCCCCAGAATTATACTCCCTAGGGGTAGCCCTCAATTAATGACTGGCAGAAGTAAAGCTTCACTCCAGCAGCTTTTAACCTTCCAATGTGAAAGTCCCAAGGCATGTGCTCTGCAGGAGTGACTTCCCTGAAGCCCTTTGTGGTGTTCATTCAGCTGCCGTCTGTGGGGTTGGTTTACCTCTCATTCTCCTGTTCCTTCCCCACTTCTCTGCCGGGGGTCTTCTCATCTCTGGGTAAACCACTTACACTCAAATTCTTGTCTCAGAGTTGGCTTCTGGAGGAGCCCCATTGAAGATATTGATGTACAAATAAAACCTGAGAAAACTAACTGAAAACTGTTAGAAGTAATGAAGGAAGTTGGTAATGTGGTCATTATATGCACACATGCATATATAAAATATACACATATAATTCAATAACTTCCTTTGATGCTAACACTAAAGAAAAAAGAAAATATAAAGAAGGAAAGAATATCCCTTTCATGACAGCAAGAAAAATAGTAAAAAAATATGTTTACATGAATATGAAAAGAATTATTAGAGGAAGGAAATTTTACAAAAGATAAATATGTAAAATTATATTCTATGTTTCTGGATGTGAAGATTTAATGTAAATAATCAAGAACATAAAAATTATTCTATAAACTGTAATATAATTTCAATCAAGTTGAGATTTCTTTTTTAATTTTGAGAAATATTCTAAAATTCATATGAAAGAATAATTTTTTAAACTATTTAAAAATCAACTTGAAAAAGGAAAATAAAGGAAGTGGGGATCTTACTCTATCTGAGGTTGGCACTGACGTAGATAAGTAGCTGAGTGGGAGACAATATACGTATTCATAGCTTTGGGAATAATGAAGGTAGAGTCCCAAATTGATGGGAAATAATGTGTTATTTGATTAATGTTGCTGGGAAAATTGGAAAAGAAATTGAGTTAGCTCTGTATGTCATACTATATATGATTACAGGTTGATTTAAGATTTAAACCACAAACATCCCTAGAATGATGAATGCCTTCTTACTCTTGAAATGAATAACAAAATCCATAAAAGAAAATAATTGTAAGATTTGATTGCAAAACCTACCAACTTGAGAAAAGAGAAAATCATCTGCCTGATAAAATATAGCATAAACAACGAAGGGGGGGGCAAATTAAATATATATATTCACACACAAATATATAATGTATAAACATATCCCTACTTTATAAACCAGTAAGAAAAAAGACGATCACCTCAAAAGAGTAGAAGCAACAGCTAAGAACAAGCAAATCTCTCTCACACACACACAAACACAAACACACACTAAAGCATGAATTGTATGTAGTGGCACTAACAAACACATGAAAGAAAAATGAGAAAAATCTTTTGGCTATCAGATCAGCAAACCTTAGATAGCAATGATAATGCCTATCGCAGGGAAAGCCATGAGAAACCTGGTACTGAGACACTCCTGCTGGGAGGGTCCACTGGGGAAACCTCTATGGGAGGCGATCTGGCACTATCTGTGTATCAGCTGTGCCAGGTCTCAATGAGCCAGTAACCAAGACATGGCTCTGAGGGATCAAGAGTAGCTCAAACTTTCAATGTGGAAATACATGGCCACTTTATCCTGACTCTCTATGCACTTTCCTCAAGGGGTTCTCGACTCTTTCCCAATTCTTAGCTCTATATTGTCAATATGCCCTGCTCCAAATTCATCAGCCCTGATTATACAACAGGAACCTCAGCACTGTGCCCTTAATGCCTGCAGGGGTGTGTGGATATAATCCATTCTTCAATATAAAACAACCTTTGTAGTTGTTGGTCATGAATATGCAAGGAGTCCAAAGGGTGAGGCAGGAAATGTCTTCATTTACACCATTCAATTGCTTTTCAATTAACAGAGAATAATTTCTGAGTAGGAAAATAGGGTTCACTTTTCGTGTGGTCTCTATCCTTCTCTTCTGAGGTCTGCTTTGGATGTGGACCCCGCCTGGGTCCCCAGGGATCTTTGTTCATTATGTCTTCTCACTTCTCAAATTTCAAAGCACACTGGTCCTGTGAACCAGCCTTTAGGCCTATTGCCAATTCACTGGTGACCAATGAGTCTCTTTCATTTTTACTGCACCTTTAAGGAGTAATAGTGGCAATCTCCCCTCTGAGGGGCATATTTCAGGGGGTTGGGTTATAGGGCTGGATAGAGGCAGAATGGTGATGGCTGATGGGGAAACTTCACCCAGGGCCACCTTTCATCATCTCTTCTTCCTTACAGCAGTCTGTAGGGACTACCTGCTTTTCTTTCTTATTTAAAGTTGTCATCAAAGTTTGCTAGAGGATGGGATGATATCTCCCCAGGTTCCTTTGGCCTGGAGTGTGGGGGAACACAGCACTGCTTTTTCACTGCAATCAGGTGGGAACAATAATCATGACCATGCAGAGGTTACTTTGTTCTGCACCTTAGGATCTCTGTATATTGCTCCTGATTACCTTTTGAGATGCTAATTGAAAAGTCTTTTTAGATTTCTCTAATTTTACTTCTGAGTTTAAAACTCTTCAAATTCTTCCTTTCTTCTGACGCTCTCCTGGCACTTTAGGGGGCATGTGTAGCTCCTGTCTCCATTGGGCCAGTCATCTCTCTGAGGCCTTCTGCCCAGATGGCAGCCCGCGTATCAACAGAATCTCTTAGTGGCATCTCCTCAAATAACACAATATTACTTCGTCACACAAAAAGTCAGCTGTTCATTGGAGCATAGTTGAAACACTAAATTTATGATAAATCTGAAAATATAATTATTGTGAGAGTGATGCAAAATAGACTAAGTATTAAGAGAAATGGCAGTGCACAGTCAGGGTGCTTTTATCCCAGATCTCAGCTTCCAGATCAGAACCAATAGCGATTGTTATTTGTATCAAGGAAAGATTTTACAGTTCTTCACTGCATGGTTTCTTTAATTTGAGCTCTTTTGCTTAAAAAAAATCAAATTTTAGAAAAGTAAAAATTTTTCTGCTTTCCTGTTGACTTATCTTTTTAATTTCAGAGGCAATTTATTTACGTATCTTCCTGTCTAGATAAATCATGATTCTGAAACCTACTTATTAGCTCTTCTCTCTTGCAAGTTAATTATTTATACATAAATACCATCAGGAGTGCTAAAAGCTCCACACCTGTGCATTGGGACTCAGAATACCTATCTCTTATTTTATTGTGAAGTCTACATTAGATTGCACATGTGAATGCATCATACAATTGTTTGTTCTCACTTTGTTATGCACAATAAAAAATACCTATATTTTAAAAAATTCTCATGATGCTCATCCACTGATCTCTACTCTTCTTATTTTATTGGCTCGAGTGGAGGTCTGTTGATATTTTAAGTTGTGTTTTAGTATTGTAGCAGACTAGCTAAGCCCCTGGTGGACAGAGACTGAATGCTAATAAGCTTTACATTCGGTCCATACTTCCCCACCCAATATATTAAAAGGCAGTGTATTTGGCATAGTTTCCTATTTTCTTTCTTCTCAGATCTCTCTCCAGAAGGTCAGCGTGGTCCCTGACATCTTCTTATAATGCTCAGCAAATTTCTCATTCATGGCCAGGGTCAAATGATTCTTCCAGTCTCCAGGCATGCCTGAAGGAGAGCAAAGAAATTCACAGACAATCCCTCAGCCCCACTCAGCCTGAGCTTCCCACCACATGGCACAAGGCACATCCTTGCTCCCTTCTTCAAATTCTGCAGGTCCCATGGAGGTGCCCTACCTGGGCCATTTTGCTCTATTTCCTATCCACTATTGACTCTGATGCCACCCAACTCAAAGTCCACAATTGGTTACTCCCTCAGAGACAAAGAAATGTCTTACAAGGTGGCATTGCTTTTTAAACTTTTGCTGTTGGGCGAAATTTAATACAGTTAATTCCTCACAGGTAACATTTAGACAACCATGATTTTCTGCAAACTGTTGTAGCTTGGCAATCCAACCAAGGAAGAATTAACTAATTGGTCCTCTAAATTCACCTAGTGCTTTATTTCTAGTGGTTTCTTACCCCTTTGCAAGCCAACTAACTCAAAGTGCTCGATAAAACTATGGAATTCTTGATTCTAACTCCCAACCAGTGAATTAGAATCCTTAAACAGGGATTATGGGTTTTCAAAGGTGATTTTGATTTAGTCAGGTCGATTGGTATTTGGGACCCACTAGTATAGTCTCCCCTTTACCCTTGATAAGAAATTTTCACATATTGAATTATAAGGGATACGTATTCTGGTTTAAACCTGATTCGGCCTGAACTAAAGAAGCCTTACTTAGGGCCTGTAGCATACATTGTACATCTGCTTTAACCATTAAAGATATGGATGCATTAAATATCACCTCAAAGTAAAAGAATGCACTCTTTGAAGATAAGAATGCATACTTCCTTTCCTCCAACGCCAGTGTCAGTACTCCTGAAGATAAGTTTCCTTTCCCCAATATCAGGGTCACGTTGACCTACTAACCGGTAACTAAATCTCTTTGAAACTTCGATGAATATGTATCATTTGTGTGTTTAATGTATGTTCTTTGTTCTAAAAAAGTATAAAAGTGTACTGAAAACCATGCTTCTCTGGAACACTTTCTTCCTTTGTGGAGACTGCCTTCCTGGGCTAGTCCTCAGCTTGACTCAAGTAAATCTCATCTTATCTCTTTTATCTATAGAATGGTCATTGTTATTTGCATGGGCCCTCTCTTATCTTGAACTTCATGCATCTGTTTCTCAATCTATTAATCTGTTAATAAACTATTTATTTCTACCTATAAACTGTTAATCTCTCTCTTTTTTTAAGATGGGCACCTGAGCTAACATCTGTTCCCAATCTTCTTTTCTTCGTCTTCTTCTTCTTCTTCTTCTTCTTCTCTCCAAAACCCCAGTACATAGTTGTATATTCTGGTTGTGAGTGCCTCTGGTTGTGCTATGTGGGATGCCACCTCAACATGGCTTGATGAGCGGTGCCATGTCTGTGCCCAGGATCCAAACCAAGAAAACCCTGGGCCACTGAAGCTGAGCGTGTGAACTTAACCACTTGACCACAAGGCTGGTCCCTAAACTGTTAATCTCTTGAGGACAGAAAGAGTGTCTCACTCATTCATTTATGCATTCATTTGCTCACTCATTCAGCAGACATTTACTGAGTTCCTATGATATATGAGGCATATGCTAAGTACTAGTGGAACAAAACTGAACACAACACTCCCTTCTGGACAATCCATTGTCTCACTGTGGAGACAGACATGAAAATAAATAGTTACAGAGCTATGTGCTAGGTGCTAAACTAGAGCCCTGAACAAAAGCAGTGATGGACCACACCTGTTCAGAGGATGCAAGAGACTTTAGAGGAGAGATTATGCTTGAGCTGGGGTTTTATATTCATGAAGGACAGAAGTTCTCAAAGTGGCCAGGATCATCAACGTCACTTGTGATCCTGTTAGAAAGGCAGATTCTTGGGCCCCCCTCATACCTACTGAGTCAGAATCTCTGGTGTGGGCCCAGAAGTCAGTGTTTTCACAAGTCCTCCAGGGAACTCTGATGGATGCTCAAGTTTGAGAAGCATTGGCCCAGGCTTTTGCCAAATGGGCAGGGTGAAAAGGAGTAGAAATTCTTAATTTGATTTTGTGGAGGATCAGAATTTGCCACTCCAAAAAGTTTCTCTTTGGCTTGATTATTTTTAAGAAGAAAGACTGAGAAAGAAACTTTGACCTTCCCCCTAACTGCCTAAAAAAATTTAAGGTAGAAGGCCTTTTCCAGGAAGCTGCCAATACCATAAGATAACTATAGTATAATAAAAACTAGGTGAGGTAGACAGGGAGGAACCTAGCAAGGGCCAATTAAATCAAAGTTCTCCACATGTCCCTTTGTTTTTGCAAAGTATGACAAACCTTTGTTTACCAAATATTTGCTTTTCCATCTCCATGTAAATTGCCTTCCTCTCCTTCAAAGTCCCAAATCACTACCCTCCACATCTTCCTTTGACTTTAGCTGAAGATGGTATTTAAGGTGGTGGCTTTAGCCATCTTAGTGAGTTACTCAGTTTTCCTCGGTTTTCTCCTGTCATTCTGTCTCACCACAACTTAATTCTTAGACTAGCCAGAAGAACCTAGAGGGTAGAGGAATAGTTGTTCCTCCCCTACAATTGAAATATATCACTTTTTCCTGGAAATTAAGCTTAAAATTATTTTGGCTTATAGGGCAGAATATATTATAGAATCGAGTTAAATAAAAGAAATGTCCCCAACCTTTCCTCAAGAATTTTGAGATAGTGTCGTCACATATGTGGGAAGGGAGAGCATGGGCTTTTCTTTCATTACATCAAATGAGGTATGGTGGATGATCTTATTTATAATGTCCTCCGACAAGGTTTTCTCCAAGAATTCCAAAAGCTTGTGGATCTCATGTTTTGGATTCTGACCATAGAGGAAAACAGCTTTATGAGGAGGGGAAAAAGAAGAGCTTGGCCAATTTAAAAGACAGATTTTTGCATAAAGTATAATTGTCAGGAGGCTTTGCTGAGTCTGACCAACGACACTCAGTGTACTTACCTTTTCTGCATCTTTGTAGAAGAGGTAGAGGACCCAGTGCTTGCTCTGTGCTACCTACGACCCTTTCACATGGTCGCACCAGGAGCCGTGAGCCACTAGAAGAGGGAGAAGCGCTGTTAGTTCTCAGTACCAGGGCCAGACCCAAAGAAATGAGGCAACTTACCATTCCTTTGGAATAAGCTTCTTGAACTTTTATTCAGCTTATTTAGTGAAGGGGAGGTAGTTTTCTACTAATAAAAGTTAGATCAATCTTTACAGTTTAAAGCAGAGATTTATAATATATATATTTACTGTATGTGACTTTACCCATGTAGACCATTTCTTGGGACTCACCTTAAATCATTTCAGTAATAAAATATTTCACCTTGTGAAAAGTCAGCATAAGTGGAGCCATTTTGAAATAGAGCCAGAGTAGTCATTTCAGAGGAACTGCATGCACATCTTACTCCTTGAACCTTTGAACTGTTTGAGCTGGGCCAGACCTTTGGGCTGGGCCAAACTAACATTGTCTTCCAAACAACTGTTTGTAAAGTTCACAGGAAAGCAGGCATCCTGACCACAAAGACAGATGACTATCTGCTCTCTTTCTGTAGATCCAGTTGGTAAGCAGCCATGTATAGCTAAAGAATAACCTAGCTTAAATTGACAAATAATAATGTACACCTGAAATTACACAATGTTATAAACCATTAGGATCTCAATAAAATAATTGAAAAGAAAAGAATAACCTAGTTTATTAACACCTCTGGAAGATTTTTTTCCCTCTTCCTCTTCTTTTCATGGAATTACCACTTTCCTTTTCCCGTAAAAACCCTCCTATTTCACCCTGTAATTGCGACACTATTTGGGTTTCTCCCGGAATTTGTGTTCACCGGATTGCAATTCTTAGATCCCAAATAAACACTTTGTCCCTTAAACTGGTTTCTGTTTTTGTAGGATGATAAAGTGTTCCTGGTAAACAGTGTTTAGTTCCAGATTCAACGACTGACTCAGGTAGCTCAGTCTTAGAGCTTGGGTCCTCCTGCTATGCTCCCCTCATACCTGTGCTATGCATTTTGCAAGTGCATAATCAGAAAGAGATGCAACAACAGCAGAGAGAAAGGTACCACTGAGGGGAACTTAAGGGATTTGCCTACTTGGGAAACAAGGGATTGATTTTCTTTTACCAATTTCATCAATTTTCATTCATTCACAGGGAAATGAATGGAAACCCTAGTTAGCTAATACTGTATTTTCAGGTCATGGCAGTGATATTTCAGTGTCCCTGATAGATTGGCACATATGGCAGCTTCCTGATTTTGGTTCTGGGCATGGTTGTAAAAACTATGTTAGCATTTTATATATATAGTATATTACATAAAGTGTATATATAATGGTATATAAGTAATTATAAAAGTAATATTTATTGAGTCTTTGCTTTGTTGCAAGCATGATGCAAAGTGGACATAAAGTTTTGTCTGAAGGATGGTAAGAAATATTGTTCAGAGGTGAAAAGTCCACAGAGCAAGTAGGCAAGTGAGTGAAATGTTCTCTTCTGAATGAAGATGATCAGGGATGTATGTTTGTAGTTGACTTGAACCCTGACATGTATCATGCTGACTGATACATATGTCAAAGTTCTCCAAAGAAATAGAACCAATGGGAGATTTTATATACAAATGATCTGTTTTAAAGAATTGGTTTCCCCAATTGTGGGGGCTGGAAATTTTCAAATTCGTCGTGCAGGCTGGCAGGCTGGAAACTCAGGCAGGATTTGATGTTACAGTCTTGAGGCAGAATTCCTTCTTTTCTGGGAAATCCGTTTTCGCTCCTAGGCCTTCAGTTGTTTGGATGAGGCCCATCCATGTTGTTGAGGGGTAACCTTCTTAAAGTCACCTGATGAGGATGTTAATTAGATCTGCAAAATACCTTCACAGAAATATCTAGATTGGTGTTTGATTGAATAACTGGGTACGACAGACAAGTCAAGCTGACACATAAAACTATCACAACATGAGATTTGAGAAAAATCATAAGAGAAGCCTGGGATCCTTCTCTCTCCTATGCTTCCTCCTACCTTGCCTACTCTCAAAAATTCTCTCATAAATATTGGGAAATCCATTCAGTTGGAGTCTTATCTAGATTTGTAATTTTTCTTATCATTAGCTGTCTCTCCTCTTTTATCTCATTTGTTTCTGAAGAAGTTGTTCTGACAGAATCCTCTGTCTTGATTCACTTGAGTGACATACTTGATGGGGATTCTTTTTGATTGGTTTTTCCATAGACTTCTGTTTTATCCAAATTGTGTTGAGGAATTCATTTCATTTTGATCTTTTTCTTTTCTGAAGAGAATATGAATGCTGGTCAGACTTGGCTATAATGAATTCATGGGGGCAATGCAAAATGCTTCCTGATTTGGGAATTTAACTAAACTTGACCAAATAAATGGGTTGTCAGTAAGAACTATGAAATATTGGTATCCTGACTTGTTGGCAATATCTTATTTTTGTCCTTGCCCTCTCTGTTTACCAGGAAGAGCTATTAAGGACCTACTTTCTGCTTGGAGGCAGCTCTTTGCTCAGTAAACTGGTAGATGCTGGCTTAGGGAAAGTCAGATTGCCCAAGGACTGGGACCACTTGACATCACAAAGCAGTCATTTCATTCATGGGAACTCTAATTATTTGAGGAACATTCATTATGTGGAGCAGCCATGATGTAACTTTCATCCATTTGTCTGAGTTCTTCCCACCCCAATATGAAATATAATGACGTAATCTTGTTTCTAAATTAAAGCTCCATGTAAAGGAGGTCAAGACAATCTTCACATCCTAAATTGCCCCTATAACACTTTAGTCTCTTCTTCTGTCTACACATTACTGTTTTCTTGAGATCTCTTCTTTTGTCAAGGTTTTGAGATCCTTATCAGTCTGGTTTGACATACGGTCAATTCTACTTGGTTGGTTTTTTGACAGGTGAACCTAAAGGGTTCAGTAGTGTCCTAAGCTGTGATCTCAGTAAGATCTACTAAGATGTGACCTCATTACTGAAGATGAGGGGCCACAACTACTAATTCTAATTAGAAGGCCCTGCTAGAGAAGACATCTAAGATTGTACATTATGGTGTATGGGAACGGCACCCTCTGCAATTATGCGGTGCACAACTTTTATGGCTGTACACAGTGGCACTGCAGCCCAATAACACAGTAAGATAAAATTAGCATGAAGTGATCCTATTCCTTCAGCTGCCCTAGGTCTTTCTGTATGAAATGTCTCCTCTTTCCCTTATTGTTCCTTATTGTCAGTTTTTGAAATCCAAGTTAAGATTTGGATACTTTTACCTTTGTCCCTACAGTTATACCCTAATATGTGCTCAATTTATATTTATATCCACTTTTGGAAAAAAAAATCTTCTACCTGTCTTTCCCAGTCTCCAGATCCCTAAGACAGGACCTGGTCACTCAGGATGGCATTCAGTACCATTCTCTGCCAGAATACCAGAGGCCCTTCTCATGGTTAGAATGTCCTGAAGGGTAGAGTACCCCAAAGTCAGTTTGCACTCACCTTTTCTAGACATGAATTTCTCACAAAATTCGTCCAAGCTCTGAGGATCATGGAATAGGAGGTCATCATGTGAAGGTGTTGTTAGTAACACACCAGGCAATCCTTGGCACTTCTGGCCAGATAGATAACCTGAAATCAAGGAGAGAGAAGGAAGCCAGAGAAAGAAAAATAATACTGTAGAAGAGTGTTCCAAAACAATGATAACTGCCTCTTATAGGTATATATAATTTTATTGACTTACTACTTAAAAATATTGATTAAATAAACTGAGCCCATTCTTTGACCCTGCTTTGCTGATGGACATGGGGAATACAGAGACAAGGAGAGTGCCCTACCCTTAGAGTAGTCATATGTTATGTAGGAAGATGAACAAAATGTTAGGACAGTACTGTAAATAATGACTGGAATATGATATACCAAGTACTCACAAGAGGAAAAAGTGACAGGGCATTCCTAGACATTCAGGGAGGGAACCATGAAATGGCAAGTCTCAGGTGTATCTTGACAGGGGAGAAGGAATTTTCCTAGCTTCACAACTGGGAAAGAGGTGTGAAGGAGAAAGCATTTTTTGTGCATACGATCTCATTTGACTCCCATAGATGTTAGAGCTGGTAAGGAGAGAAGGGATATTTGCCTCTTTAATTGATGAATTAGCTAAGATTTACAGAATCTGAGTGACTTTACCAATAATACATGGTTAGTACATGAGGGGGTCAGGGCCGGAACAGAGAAATTTGGGCATTGAATCCAGAGCTGCTTCATTACATGCACAGTGCCTGTACATATCAGCAAGACTCTCACAGAGGAATGTCTAAGACAGTGTTTCTCAAAGATTAGAATGGTTTTGCTAATATACAATATTTTTCATATTTGGGTTGCTCTTGGCTTTGCCTCAGGAATCTAGGCAAAATAAGGAAAGTGGCATGGCAAGCTGCTGATTGGGAATTTATGATCATTCATTCAACAGATACACAGCAGACAAGTAAGCTGCTACTACGTGTCAGACTCAGTCCTTTCCTTCAAGGAACTCACAGTCAAGAAGAGGTAAGAACTCACAGACAAGAGAGGCAAGAAAAGAGAAAATTACAATGCAGTGTGATGAATACAATGATGGGACAAACACACCCACACTTATGCCAACATATATAGGTGAAATTTATCCAGCCATGAGTGGTCAAGGGAAGCTCCCAAGAGTAGGTATTATCTATGCAAATATCTAAAGATAAGTAGGAATTAGCCAAGTAAAGATGGGAGGAGATGCTTGAGTCAGATGAATAGCACATGAAAAGGTCAAGGGTGTGAGGAAACACTGTGTGTTAAAGGACTTACAAGATTTTCAGGATGCTTTTAGCAAGAATGGAGGAGTCTGAAGAGATTGGGCTGCCACTGAAGCAGGGCCCAGGCTGCCAAAGGCCTTGAAAGTGATATAAAGAATTTGGACTTGATCTTCAATCCGTCTGTGGAAAATTTAAAGTAGAGAAATGCCTTAGTCAGATTTGTGTTTTAGAAGGATTACCAACTACAAAGAAGAAAGGCTGGAGGTGGCAAAACAAGAGGCAGGCAGACTAATTGGAAGGCAAAAAAGAACAATGACCTCTTGGGTACAGATGGCAGTGTTTTAGTATATTGGATAGGTTAGAAAGATACGAAGGAATTAAGTGGACTTTGTGAGAGAACAAATGTGGAGGCAAGGGAGATAAAAATGATGACAGGTTTTGAGTTTGGCCAATTGGGTATATTATGGACATAGGTGTTAGCGCCTATAAACATAGGTTCCCTATACACCATACAAGAGGGGCCAAATAAAAACTGTAACGCCAGGCTTATGGCAATGAAAGCGTTTTTATTTCAGGTGATATCAGCTGGGAGATGAGAGTAAGCCCTCAAATTCATCTTGTTTCTTCTTGTCTCCCAGAAAGATGGGAAGCCAGGGGTGTTAAAGGTTTGTGAAGAATGTGGCTTCTTATAGAGAGTGGGGGAAGTTAGTGGCCTTGCTGGTTGGAGCTTTCCCACCAGCCTGCATTCAGCCTTGGGATGCTGTTTGCAGAAAGGAGGAGGAGCTGATAAGGAATCCAGGTGGCTGTCCTTGGCCATGTCTGTCTCCATGGCAGATAGTGGATTCTGGAGCCAGGGAGCGAGGGAATGAGCAGGGAAAGAGTGCTTTCGTTTTAATCCCATATATGCTGGGTTTAATGTAGGGGAACTGATATCAGGGCCGGCATCATAGGGAATCCTTGAAGAGAAGCAAATTCTACACTTTTGCTTCTGAGGCCAGGAGACTATTCTCTAATATTTTGGCTGAGCAAGGCAAAAGTTTTACTTTAAAAAGTGTTTCCCTCTGTTCTAGCTCCCCATCCACTCTGATTTATAACAATACAGATTATTTTGGAGAATTCAGGCAAGGAATTATCATGAAATAGGATCAAACAGAATATTAGAAAATAGCTGTCTACAGATTCCAAGTTTATGTAATTCTCAATTTTTAAGGACTTTGTCTAGGAAAAATAGCACAATGGGTTTTTGAAAGTATCTTCAATTGCATAATTTATATCACCAAGTTAAGAGAAGTTTGAAAAGTCAGCTCTTTTTACCTCACAGTTTTGTTTCCAGCAAGATGGTGTCATTAGGCGTGAAGGAGGGAGAGTTTTTAACACTCGTGGTGAAGGCATATCAAGAGCTATCTCCAAATCTAGAAAAACAATTCATATTCTTCATTTATTCTTGTTACTCTTGGAAATCCTTGAATTTACATTTGTGTCTTATTCTAAAGAGTGATTTATTTTATATTTTTCCCTAGGAGACAATTGAGACAATAGCTGTACATTCAGAAGGATGCATAAAGCATCCCTTCCTTCCTATTCTTCAAGCTTTTCTTTGTTTCATCTTATTCTTTGGACTCAGACTTTCAGGAAAGTTCATTAGCTCCCTCAACGAATTCTCTTAATGTCCATAACATACACCCCTCCTCCTTTTCCTCCTTCTCCCTCTCTTTTTTAAGAAATCATTCCCATTCGTTTACAATAACTTAAAATTAATGTCTGACTCTTCCACAGATCTGAACACAGGGAGACTTTTCAATATTGCTGTATAATACTCACCAGGTTCTTAGTTATAGGGAAATAATTCAGTGAAGGGGTGTCTTTCAGTAGAGGCAGCTTGGTTGCATTTTGCCTCATCACCATCATTTTGAATCATGTCTAGAATTTCTTGAATCCACGTTGTACTTGAAGATATTAGAAACAGTTCTTTAATTTTAGTCAGCTGGGTGTTCATCCTAAGTATTTAAATATTTTGAAGAAAGACAATATGAGAATAATTAGACATTAGAGTAATGTTGTAGAGGCAAAAGGGAGCCATTCTGTTATACCTCTCCTTAGGTACGAGGTGGTCACAAAATTTCATGTGGGAGGACTTGGAGAAACGTTTTCACCTTTTTTTGCAAAAAATTTTAAACTTACAGAGACTTGAAAACATAACATAAAGAGCACTCCAAATATTCAAATTTTAAAAAACATTTTGCTTTATTGGCTTTAGCCTTTCTCTTTCTCTTATCTAGATCTATCTATCTATCTATATATCTATCTTTCTATCTATCTATCATCATCATCATCAACTATTTATCAGCTATCCATCTATCTATCATGTTTGACTGAACCATTTGAAAATAAGTTGCTGATATCAGGACGCTTCATATCGAAATGCTCCAGGAGGCATCTCCCAAAATGACATTCTCCTATTACATTTTCTATATGTTTCTTATCACATCTAATTTATAATGACTCTTTAAATCATAAAATACTCAGTCTATATTAAATTTTCTATAATTGTCTAATAATATCATTTATAGTTTTTCTCCCCCCAATTAGAGTTCATGGATTGTGTTAGTTTTGATGTTCTTTTTTTCCCTCTCAGCCTAGAATTGTCCTCTCATGTTTTTTCTTCATGACTGGTTTTTGAAGAGATCAGTCAGCTGTCTTGAGTATGTCCCACATTCTGGTATTTTTCTCATAGTAAGTTTAACTTGTTCCTTTGTTCCCTATATTGTCTGTAGACTAGAAATAACATCTTGATTAGGCTTGGGTAAAGCATTTTTGGCAAGAAGATTTCTCAGGCAATGCTTTATACTTCAATTTGCATCATGCCCAAAGGTCCACTGTGTCAGATTGTCCCACAGGGAGCCATGCCACTTGTGATCATTTGGTTAAGTAGGTGACTCCCATATCTCCCTTGCAAAGGTACATATTTCCACTTGCTATTAGGAATTAAACTGTATGGTGACACTTTGGCACCATGTGACTATCCTGTTCCCTCAAATTTTATCTAATTCTTTTAGGATTCATTGATGATACTGCCTGAACGAATTTTCTTTTCTTTTCTTTTTGAAATACATCAATAGTGTACAAGGGTTCCCTCTTGTCCACACCCTTGCTGACATTTGTTACCTCTTGTCTTTTAAATTTTTTCCAGCTTTATTAAGATAGAATTGACAAATAAAAGTGTAGTATTATTAAGGTTTACAATGTGATGATTTGATATACATATATACTGTTAAGTGATTCCCACAATCAAGCCAATTAACACGTCTATCCCTTCACATAATTACCTTCTCTTTGTGGCGACAATGCTTAAGTTCTTCTATTTTGGCAAATTTCAAGTATATAATCCAGTAGAACCCCCTTATTCACAGGGAATGTGTTGGTCCAAGACCCCCAGTGGATGCCTGAAACTGTGGATAGTACCGAACCCTATGTGTACTATGTTTTTCCTATACATGCCTACTATAATAAAGTTTAATTTTTAAATTAGGAACAGAAAGAGACTAACAATAACTAATAATAAAATAGAACAATTATGACAATGTACTGTAATAAAATTTACCATAGATCTTAGTCACCTCCACATATGATTTTTTTCTCTTCATTAGGTTGAGAACGTTCATCTTTTCACATAAAGGCAGCACTTCGTGGCTTCTTGTTGGCATATCTGAATTTCCAGCATCCCTACTCTTGCTCTTTGGGGCCATGATTAAGTAAAATAAGGGTTACATGAACACAAGCCCTGTGATATTGTGACAGTTGATCTGATAACTGAAAGACATCTACTATGTGGCTGGCTAACAGGTAGATAGCGCATATGGCATGGATATGCTGGACAAAGGGACGATTGATGTCCCAAGTGGGATGGGGTAGGATGGTGCAAGTTTTCATCACAGTACTCAGAATGGCACACAATTTAAAACTTATGAATTGTTTATATCTGTAATTTTCAATTTAATATTTCTAGACTGTGGTTGACTGTGGGTGATTGAAACCGTGGAAAGCAAAACTATGGATAATAGGAGACTCCTGTACAGTGTTATTAACTATAGTTACCATGCATCACATTAGATCCTCAGGACTTATTCATCCTATAATTGAAAGATTGTACCCTTTGACCAACATCTCCCTATTTTTCTCATCTCCCAGACCCTGGAAACCACCATTCTACTGTTTGTTTTCATGAATACAACTTTTTTAAAGCTTCCACATATAAGTGATACCATACAGTATTTGTCTTTCTGTCTCTTGCTTATTTCACTTAGCATAATGCCCACTGCCTGAACTAATTGTCATTGTGGGTTGCAAGTTATTAAGTTTCTAATCTCATCATTTTATCTCTACATATTAGGTAAATCTTATGTAAAGAATTTTCCCCGATTAACTGGGGAAGAAATATAATTCCTTTAAATTATTTTCTTTAATTACTCTTTTAGAGTAAGAGATAAATATGTGCTATCTTCAATAGTGGTAAATAAGTTTGTTTCCTTCTTTTTCTTATAGTCTCATAAGTTTTTTGATTGTGGTGAAAATTACATACAAGAGAACAAACTCATTTTAAATGTGTAATTTGATGAATTTTGACAAAGGTGTACACCTGTGTAACCAAGACTGCGGTCAAGATTAGAACCTTGCATCTATTTGTAGTCAGTAATCTCCCATCCTCAATTCTGGTCCAGACAACCACTGATCTGTTTACTGTTGCTATAAACTAGTTTTGCACGTTCCAGAATTTCATATAAATGGAATCACACAACATGTACTTATGTGTCTGACATCTTTCATGCAACATAATGATTTTGGGATTCATCCACATTGGTGTGTGTATCTGTAGTTTATTCCTTTTTATTGTTGAGAACTCAATTTTATAGACATACTGCAATTTATTTATTCATTTATATGTTGATGGACACTTGGGTTGTTTCCAGTTTTGGGGTATTTTGAATAACACTTCTATAAACATCTATGTATATGTATTAGGGTGAACATAGGTTTTTATTTTTCTTGAGTCAATCCCTAGGAGTGGAATTCAGCTTTACCAATACTTAGTATTTTCATTCTTTTAGCCATTCTAATGGGTGTGTATTTCATTGTAGTTTTAATTTATATTTGTGTCATGATTAATTATGTTGAATATCTTTTTCAATGTTTATTGATCATTAGTAGAGCTGTTTTGGTGAGTTTTTTTCACACGTTTTTACTTTTTATTTTCTTAGTGGAGTTTTTAGAAAATAGAAGTTCTAATTTTGATGAAGTCCAGTTTATCAGTTTTCTTTTATGGTTAGTGGTTTCCACGTTATCTAAGATATTGTTGCTTAACTTAAGGTTTGAAGATTTTCTTCTATGTATTCTTCTGTAAGTTTGATAGATTTAATTTTTTTCTTCTTCTTCTTCTTTTTTTTGGTGAGGATGATTGACACTGAGCTAACATCTGTTGCCAGTCTTCCATTTTTTGCTTGAGGAAGATTGTTACTGAGCGAACATCTGTGCCAATCTTCCTCTATTTTTTGTATGTGGGATACCACCACAGCATGGCTTGATGAGAGGTGTGTAGGTTCATGCCTGGGATCCTAACCTGTGAACGCTGGGCCTCCAAAGGAAAGCCCCCTAACCCAACCATGATGCCGCCAGGCTGGCCCCTATAGCTTCAATTTTTATGTTTAGGTATCTGATCCACTTCATCTTGATTTTCTTGTGTGAGGTATGAGGTAAGTGTCAATCATCTATGCCAATACCATATTGTTTTGATTGCTGAAGCTGGAAGTCTTGACATCAGATAATGTAATCCCTCCAAATTTGTTCTTCTTTATCAAAAATATTTTGGCTGTTCTAGGGCATTTGCACCAAGTAAATCGTAGAACCATTTTGTTAGATGGTGATTGAGATTGCATTAAATCCATATATCAATTTTGGAAGAACTGGTGTTTTAACAATATTGAGTCTTTTGATCCATAGTAATGGTGACTCTTTATTTAGAAATTTTAAATTTCTCTCAGTAGTGTTTTTATATATGAATCTTTTATGATTTTTGTTAAATTTCTTTTAAATTGAGGTATAATTAACATATAACATTATATTATTTTCAGATGTACAATATAATGATTTGATATTTGTATGTATTGCAAAATGATCAGCACAATAAGTCTCCTTAACATCCTTCACCATACATAGTTACAAAATTTCTTTTTCTTGTGATGAGAACTTTTAAAATTTACTCTCTTAGCAACTTTCAACTATACAATGCAGTATTATTCAGTACAGTCACCATGCTGTACATTACATCCCCAAGACTCACTCAGTTAATAACTGGAAATTTGTTCCTTTTGATCCCCTTCACCCATTTTATCCACCTCCCGCTCCCCACCTCTGACAACCACCAATCTGTTCTCGGTGTCTTTGAGCTTAGGTTTGTTATTGTTGTTGTCTTTTTAGATTCCACATATAAATGAGGTCCTATAGTAACTGTCTTTCTCTGTATGACTCATTTCATTTAGCATAATGACTTGAGGTCCATCCTTGTCACAGACAGAGGATTTCCTTCTCTTTTATGACGGAATAATATTCCATTATATACATTAATATATTAATATAATATATAATAATATTCCTTTATAGATACACACACACACACACACACACACACCCCACATTTTCTTTATCCATTCATCCATCAATGGATACTTATGTTGTTTCTATATCTTGGCTATTGTAAATAATGCTACGGTGAACATGGGGGTGCATATATCTTTCTGAGTTAGTGTTTTTGTTTCTTCAGATAAATACCCAGAAGTGGAACTGCTGGATAATGTGGCAGTTCTATTTTTAATTTTTTGAGGAAATTCCATATTATTTTTCATAGTGGTTGCACCAGTTTGCATTTCCATGAATTGTACAAGGGTTCCCTTTTCTCCATATCCTGACCAACATTTATTATTTCTTGTCTTTTGAAGGTGGTCA